GATTCGGTCACACTTGCCGATTGTTAAACAAGTTTGTGGCGTAGTTTTTCGGTGTTCATAAATTTGTCATCACCCATCGTGGGGCCGTGTAGTTTTAAAAAACCCAATGGTGACCACGAGAAACATGAGCATGGACGACCCGATTGAGATGATCAGAGTTTTGCAACAAAAGATGGACGAGATGCAACAGCGTCACGAGGACGAGCTGGCGACGGTTAAGGTCGATTGTGAGGCCCGAATAGCCCGGGAGCTCGCTATAAAGGAAGGGGAGGACGAGCGGGCAAATGAGAAAGGAAAGGTCGCCGTGGAGGATCACATGGAACACAACAGCGAACGCGACAGAATTTGGAGACTGACGGAGTCCGAGGCCGAAGGGAGCAAGGCCAAATCAGTGCACGCGGAAAGCGCGACTGAGGATAGGCGGATGGTGGTGAAGCCGAAGCCTTCATCCACACTATGCTTCCCTTCGCCCAAAGCATAATGGATGTTCAGATTTCGAAAAAGTTCATTGCGCCGGAATTCAAGATGTATGACGGGACCACGGATCCCGAGGCCCACATCAAAACGTTTTCAAACGCCATGGCATTCAGAACAGGCAACGACGCTATATGGTGCCGGGCGTTTTTGTTGTCCTTAGAAGACGAAGCACTGGAGTGGTTTAACTCTCTACCCCCTAACTCTATAGAGAATTTTGCCAGCCTAAAACAACTGTTTAACGGGCAATTTGCGGCCAACAGCACGCAGGACCTGACCATGTTCGAGTTGGTCACCCTGAAGCAGGGTAAGGAAGAAATGTTGAGGGCGTTCATGGACCGGTACCAAAAGACGGTCCGGCGAGTGAAGGCATTAAGCCAGGAGCTCGACCTCCACTACATACTCCCGACGCTTAAGCCCGGACCGTTTAAAGATAGCGTCTGCCGACGGCCTCCGAAAACTATGGAGGAGTTAAGGGAGCGTGTGATGGACGAGATCAGGGTAGAAGAGATGAAATTGTCCTATAAGAAGGAGAGCCAGGAGCTTAGCGGGGAGAGGGTGGACGGGAGAAAGCCCGACAGTTCGGCAGGAAAATCGAGCGGCCACAGGTAGAAGGAACCAAGGCGAGGACCCCGTTTTCAGCAGTATACTCCCCTGAACGCCCCTAGGGAGAAGATCCTCCGGGAGGCACTAAGCGCAAATTTGCTTCCCGAACTTGTAAAGTGACCTACTCCATCAGGAGCGGACGGGAGCAAACACTGCGCCTACCACAAGAATATGGGTCACACCACCGAGGAGTGTGTGACCCTGAAGGACATAATTGAAGAGTTGATCCGGGCGGGGCAACTCAAAAAGTACATTCGAGTTGACCGTCCCCCGGCTCCCGCGGAACGATCCACCCCCTGGCAGGCTTACAGACCAGACAGGTCTAGAAATGATCGGGCCGAACGCCACGTTCGGAGCTACGACGGAGCAGGAGCCGTAGCAGAAGCCGCGAACGTTTCCTGTAGGGGCATCTAACACCATCTCGGAAGGTTTCGCAGGGGGAGGATCATCTTCGTCTGCGCGAAAACGACATGTTCGGGCCCTACAGTCCGTTCATTTAGTGGACAAACCTCATTGCCCGATGCTGCCCATCACATTCTCGGATGAAGACTTCCACGCGCCCGATCCCGACCAAGATGATCCAATGGTGATAACGGCTGAGATCGCCCGCTACGGCGTCAGCAAGGTCTTGGTGGATCAGGGGAGTTCAGTAAATATCCTCTACTGGAAAACTTTCCAGCAGATGGATATATCGAAGGATCTCATCGTCCCTTACAACGACCAAATCATTGGCTTCGCGGGAAAGAGAGTAGACACCCGGGGTTACGTGAAGTTAAGGACAAGGTTGGGGACCGGGCGGTCCAGCGAGGAGAAAAGGGTTCGGTACCTGCTGGTGGAAGCTAACACTTCTTACAATGTGTTGCTTGGCTAGCCATGCCTGAACGCTTTTGGGGCAATCGTGTCCACACCCCACCTCACGATGAAGTATCCCTCAGAGAAGGGAACCATATGCACTGTCCGGGTAGATCAGAAGACGGCCCGGGAATGTTATGCCGCGAGTCTGAAGCTGTACACCCGATAAGGGAAGAGGAGGGCGACTAGCTCTAAAGTGGCCATGGTCGACCTCGACCCAAGGACGAACACGGAAGACCGGCTGAAACCTATGGGAGAGACCCAACCAATCCTAATAGGGAAGGATCCCTCCCAAACGACTACCATGGCACGGGGATTAGAGCCCGGAGTGGAGAAAGAACTTAGGTCGCTCCTGTGGAAGAACAGGGATCTGTTCGCATGGACGGCGGCCGACATGCCGGGGATTCACCCCTCGGTCATGTCCCATAAGTTGACATTGTTCAAGGAGGCCCGTCTGGTGGCATTGAAGAAGCGGAGGATGGGCAAAGAGAAAAGGAAAGTTGTCGAGGAGGAGGTGGGAAAGCTAAAGGAGGCAGGCTTTGTCAGAGAAGTCACCTACACCACTTGGCTAGCCAACGTGGTAATGGTAAAAAAGACAAGTGGGAAGTGGCGCATGTGCACGGACTACATCGATTTGAACAAGGCCTGCCCAAAAGACTCACCCCCTGCCGAGCATAGACGCATTGGTGGACGGTGCCTCCAGGCATCGGATGTTGAGCTTCCTCGACGCTTATTCTGGATATAATCAGATACCAATGTACGGGCCTGACCGGGAGAAGACGACCTTCATCACTGAGAGGGCAAACTTCTGTTACGAGGTAATGCCCTTCGGCCTGAAGAACGTCGGGGCCACCTATCAGAGATTGATGGAACGAATCTTCAGGGAACAAATTGGCAGATGCATGGACGTTTACGTGGACGACATGGTCGTCCATTCGGCGGATGGTGTTGGCCATGTGAGGGACTTGGAGAAAGTTTTTCACCAGCCAAATGCACATTCGGGGTATCGGCTGGGAAATTCCTGGGCTTCATGCTTACATCCAGAGGAATTGAAGCTAATCCCGAGAAGGTTGAGGCAGTGCTGCAGATGCAAAGCCCGGCCACCCTTAAAGAAGTACAAAGGCTCTTCGAATGGCTTACAGCGTTGTCGCAGTTCATTCCAAAGTTGGTCGAATGAGTCAAACCTGTCCTGCGGAAGATGAAGAAGGGAGCAGGTTCCGTATGGGACGCCGAGTGCGAACAAGCCTTTTAGCATGTCAAGACCATCCTGCTAAACCCGCCCGTAATGAACCGTTCTGTGCCGGGAGAAGATCTGCATGTCTTCCTGGGCGTGTCAGAGTCGGCCATCAGCGCCGTGTTAACGCAGGAAGGGCCCCAACCAAGGCTAGTTTACTTTGTCAATCGCACCCTCCTGGATGCAGAAACCTACTATCAGCAAGTGGAAAAGGTAGCGCTTGCTTTGCTAAATGCGTTAAGGCGGCTTCGGCCATATTTACAAAGCCACCAGGTCATCGTCAGAATTGATTTTCCCATCTCCAAAAATCCTTAGGAAACCAGACCTGGCAGGACGCATGGTGTCATGGGCAGTAGAACTATCTGAGTTCGGCCTTCGCTGCGAACCGAGAGGGTCGATCAAGGGCCAACACCTAGCTGACTTCGTGGTCGAGTTACCTCCCATGAACCAAGACGAGTGGAGTTTGTACGTGGATGGGGCGTCCGGTAGATCGATCAGGCATAGTGTTGGAGGGTCCCAACAGTTTCCTGTTGGAGCATTCCTTGATATTCAAGTTCAAGGTCTCTAACAATCAGGCTGAATACGAAGCCTTGGTCGCCGGTCTGGAGTTGGCAAGAGACATGGGAGCAAGGAAGATCACTTGCCGGACGGATTCCCAACTAGTCGTTGGCCAGATAAACGGTGACTTCCAGGTGAAAGAGGAACAGTTGCTGTGATACTTCCATCGTGCAATAGAGTTGGCGAGATCGTTCGACAAGGTCGACATCCAGCACATCCCAAGGGAAGAGAACACTTGGGCGAATATGTTATACAAGCTCAACTCGGGAAAAGAAAAGGGGCAGTTAACGACTATCGTACGTCAAGTGCTGCTTCAACCCTCAATCGAGTGTCTGACAGTTACAAGCGAGGAGGAAGACTGGCGATCTGAAATTAGAGAGATAATGTCTCGACAGGATGACGGACGGCCCGTCAAATCGAGCGAAGCAAAGAGGATCGCACGCTACCTACTGGTGGGGGACAACTTGTACAGAAGAGGGTTCTCCACCCCCTTCTTAAGTGCTTAGGAAAGGAATAAGCGCGCTATGTGATGGACGAACTCCACAATGGCATATGTGGTTTTCACACCAGATGGAGGGCTCTAAAGGCCCGCGTGACGAGGGTAGGATACTATTGGCCGACCATGGAAGCAGATGCGAAGACGTTTGTCCAAAGATGCCTCAGCTGCCAAGCACACGCCAATAACACTCACCTGCACCCTCACACTTTCCGTACGATCGTGTCGCCATGGCCGTTCGCCCAATGGGGAATGGACATCGTGGGACCGTTCCCCATAGGCCGATCCTAGAAGAAGTTCCTCCTGGTAGCCGTGGACTACATCACTAAATGGGTGGAGGCCGAACCCTTAGCGCCCATAACGGCCGCCCAGATCTAGAAATTCTGCTGGAGGTTGGTATGTCGTTTCGGCCTCCCTCAAACCATCATCACGGATAACAGCCACCAGTTCATCGATAAAAAGTTGGCCGAATTCTTTAAAGGTTTGGGGATTAAACACGTCACCAGCTCTGTAGAACATCCCCAGACTAACGGTCAAGTGGAAGCGATGAACAAAACCGTGGTCGCCGAATTGAAGCGGCGGTTGGGAAAAAGAAAGGGAGCGTGGGTTGACGAGCTACCTGAAGTGCTTTGGGCTTACCGATGCATGCCATGTTACCAGTCGAGCTGGGGGAGCCCTTGTTGCGCCAACAAGTCGAAGACTTACAGCTGAACGACCAAGAGCTAAGAATCGAGCTAGATTCCCTGGACGAGCGTCGAGATCGAGCGGCCTTAAGAGTCGAAGCATGCAAGCGTATGGTGGAAAGGAAGTACAACTCCAAGGTGCGACCAAGGAGCTTTCAAGAGGGAGATCTAGTATGGAGGAAGGTTGGAGAGGCTCGCCGAGTTACTACACACGACAAACTGACAACAAAATGGGAAGGACCGTTCCGGGTGGTCGAAGCACTAGGAAATGGGGCGTACAGGCTGCAACACTTAGACGGACGGCCAATTCCAAACACTTGGAACGCCACACATTTGAAGTTTTATTTCAGTTGAATTATTCTTCAAAACTTGTATTCTTATTTTCAAATGATTAATTCAAATGACAGGACGTCCACCTTATCTCATCCCTAGTCTCGTTAAACACGACGAAAGTACAAGTTGATGAACGGAAAGTTCCTCTGGGAACCACTGTCAATTTGGCCGGACGATGAACAGAGAGTTCTTTTCGAAGAACCACTGCCGTCCGCACCTTAAAAATCCAAATTGATGAACGGAGAGTCCCCCCGAGAACCACTATCAACTTAGACGAACGGTGAACGGAGAGTTCTTTCCGAAGAACCACTGTCGTCCGCGCCTTAAAAAAGTCTAAGGCTGTTAAAGAAAGGGTTTACTCCTGGACGATCAATACGCGGAGCGAGAAACAAAAATTAATACATTGCGGAAATTAAAAGGAGCCAAACAAATGAAGTTATTTATTCATCAGCAAAGGCACCAAAACATGCCAGCATTTACAAAAGGACGGCCCGACCAACATCTCGACAACCCAAGATGTTGGACGGGCGACCATAAGAATACATATAACAAAAAATCAAAGTATAAAAGCAAAAAATCCTAATTATCACCGCCGTCCTCTTCTTCATCACCTTCAACCTCCACCGCCTTGGCGGCTCCCGCGGCTTTAGAGGGCCCTTCAATCCCCGGCTCCTCGTCGTCAACCATGGAGTTAAGGTCAACAAGGACGCCATAAAAAACGTCCTTCTCGATATCAAAACCCAAGGCGAGCGACTCCTGTATGTCGGCCAAGAGGACGCCTGCCGGAGGGCTTTGTTGAAACCCTCCTCATGTTCAAAGACGATGCTCGCCTCTAACTCTGTAATCCTTT